GAGGGGGCAATGGCCACCCCTAGGGCTGCACCGATTAGTTGAAATAATCGATGATGTCGATTATGTAAATTTGTCGACGCAGATTTTTAATTATCGATTCGCTGTATTACATAACCACCACGTGAATGTCCATGCAATTCCATTTCGGTACCTAAATGCATCATTGCGACCGTATTGGCTTAAGAGTGGTGAGTTTTCCATGCTTGTCCTGAACGCAGCATCACAAGAGCGTAATGACGTCAGCAGCTGCTGCTTCAGTTCAGTCTGAAGCTTGAAAACAAGCCTCGCAGCTCCTGGAGTAAAATTTACTGAACAGACCGCCTCTGAATTATCTGGTGGATTAATTATCTTGTGAYCACGACGTTCGCTTGCTCAAAGTAAATAAAGTACCACCACTTTTTTTTTATTTCATCCATCATTAAACAGAGAGCGGTGTTAGGTCGAGCAGCGTTCCCCCATCAGACGGTTCCCCCAGCGTCTCAAACAACAGAGGAGCTTCCCGACACACGTCTGACCTAAAGAGCACAAGCAGCCAACAAGTGTTGGACGTGTTCTGGATGTTCAAAACATAGCTTAAATACCTTTTATTTATTTTAACTGCATCCTCTTTTGTTTATTTGATTTAAACTTATTTGCCTTCCATGGACCTCCATCACACATTTTTCTAGCAGGGAAATGACATCAATAGAAACACGTGGAGCTGGATATTAATTTGTGCAATAAGACAAAACAGTCTTGTTGTTTTCAACAGTTTTCACCTTAAAGAAATAAGTTACACAACTGATGTTACAATACAAAGAGTTGGATGTTGTCTTGATATTTGTTATTTTTTATATATTGAGAAATATGTTAAATAAAAAATAATAAATAAATGTTTATAATAGTTTTTCCAGAGTGACTTGAATTTTGCATGATTTAGTTCGTTAGATTGTTAACATCTTGTACTATATTTCTTTTACTTGAATTTTATATGCTTTGGTTGAGATTTTATGTTGATGTTAAGTCTTTTAAGCTTTTTTTGTTAAAGAATTGACTCTAGAGTGCTTATTTTGTGTCCATGAAAAAACTATTACAGAAAATATTACAAAATTAAAGAACTGTTCTTGTTAATTTGATGAAAACATTTTAAATATCCAGTGCACTCACATCAGAATAACTCATAGGTTTGTTGTTAGAATAATCGATTAATCAAAAAAATAATTGTTAGATTAATCGATTAGAAAATAATCGTTTGACACAGCACTAGCCACCCCTTAATATTTAGTGCCCCCTCTCCCCCACTAGTCCCCTTTGGTCAGACAGTTTTATATTCTAGAGTGCCTGGATTAAACATTTCCTTAGCTATTTAGGATTAGTTAAAACTTATGAAGATAAAAACAAAGTTTTTGATCACTTAAAAATATAAATATATACTTATATTCTATTCAACTTCTATTTAAATCTATATACTTTTAAAATAAATCTTAATATAGAGGAGGACAAGCTTCAATAATTTGAGTAGTGGCAGTGTATTTTTCAGTAACTGATGTTTGTAAAAAAAAAATCAAACCCAAACTAAAGTAAACCTACTGTATGTACATCAGAAGCTTCCTAAACGTGTGCGTTGCTGAATTCGTCAAAAAATCTATATAGCATCACAAATCTCTTGAAATGCTGTTGTGGTTTTTGGTTTTGGTGCCACCCCAGGATTTCCAGTCGCTCCCCACTACATTAAAGCATTTCTGAAGGCGCCACTGGTGGATCACTTTTATTTTCGGCATCATTATTAACTGAGGGGCAGCTGTATGGAAAACTATTCTACTCGTCACTAAACAGGTACGACAACAATGAAACATGGAAATGGGACAGTGTTTTGTGTGAAAGCCAACCAAAGTGAAGTCCAACAGACACTGATTGGTATCAAGCATATAGAGTCCAGCTTACAGTGGCTTAGCTGCTTGATTTTAGGCTTAATACTCACTCAGCTGCCCTAATGCACCCCCCACAACACCCCCCAGGCCATCCAGCACATTAGTGCTATTACATTAATACTCTGATGCTCTTAGCTGAGACCAACAAACCCTCCAGGCTCCACGCACCAACTGTTCCTTCTAAAAAGCACCACTGCGCCGCAATTACATGGTCTGGTTACAGAAAAGTCAAGCCTGTGTGTTCAAAGTCACTGGCGGTCGTCAGCCTGACAGCTAGTGAGCTTCATGTTCTGGACAGGGATGGAGACTGTTGGCACCAGCCCATTAAATCATTTTACTGTCATTTATGTACCATCTTCTGCTCATTCCGACAGAAATTTGTCTAAACGTGGGTCATTTTGTGCCACTTTCCACATGAGTGTTGTGTTCGGATGACAGATTTCTACGGGAGGCTCCTCGGCCTGGTTCATTTAGTGCAGGGATTTGAAGGAGATTTAAAATAAAATGAGTGGAAATGTTCTGGGTTTCTGTCAATCAAAGTGTTTGTTGGACTTCTCAACAAGATATGGGCCCATTTTACTTTAATGAGATTGGGGGAAAATACTTATGACCTTTGACCTTCAACAATCATGAACTCTTTGGTTAGCAAAGGTGTAAATAGACTTGTGCTTAGAAGCCTTTTTATTTTAAATCTCTTTAATTATTGCTGGCTACTAGGTCTGCGCGGTATATGCGGTAGACGGTAGAAACGATATCAAGTTGGCCTATGGTAGAAATTTACCCTCTACTGTCATATCGTCATTACGTCATCGCACCTGTGTCAACAGGGCTGCGAGTGCAGAGACAAGTGAGCAGGAGGAGTTCGAAGTAAAACGAAGAAATTCTATCATTTTAAAACACGTATAGAGAGGATAAATGCGCAAAATTTCCCCCTCCCGCTGTAGAAAGGGGGATCATTGGGATCATTCCCCCTCGACTCTTCTGCTGCACGTTGCGCAGAGCAAAGCTTTAACAACTGTAGTTTTTTCACACCCAAGTTGTCGGAGAAAATTTTTTTTTATGTATTGTTACCCACAGAGAAGATAAGAAAAAGATGTGGACATTTGTTCAGTCATAAATCCATTTTGCTAATGGAAAGTCGGCTTCTGCTCTGATAATGAAGATGAGTGCGCAGCAGAGCAGCAGTTGATAAGTTCAACAGGCAGAAGCTCATTGTATAGCAGGCAGATATTAAAACAAAAATGCTGGGTTTGATTATGATTACAGTTTTCTGTAAAAATGCTCTAAAAATTATATTATTTTTACCTTTTATGATAGTTTTCTACCGCGATATATACCGTTACCTTGAAGGGATTCAGTTTATACCTTGATAGGAATTTGAGGTCATACCGCCCAGCCCTACTGGCAACCAGTTAACAAAGTTATCAGGGTTACATGTTTACATTTGTTTTGTGGACCTGGAGAAGGTTTACAACCATGTTCCCCAAGTGTTGGGATCATTCTTATTGCTGCATACTCAGTTAAATCTGAGCCCTTTCCTGGTGCAGGTCGGACTCCATCTGGGCAGCCCCATAGGCAGCAGAAAGCACAGTTTGTGAACCCTCCACAGTGTTTTGAAAGGAATTCAAGGCTGAATAAAAACATAAAGAGATATAAAAATCCCATCACTGATAATGTATAAAGAACTTTATTTGCCGTTTGTGCATAAAACCAGCAGTCCAGGCACATTGGAATTCTTATGCAGAATTCTATGAGTCATAAACATTTCAAATACGAAAAAACATGGAAAGAATAGAGAGCAATAAAATGACAGATTATATTTACACTATAAGGAAAGTAGTGATATCCATATCTTGTCACCTGACAAGTGAAATTAAGTAGTGAAGGGTTATTGATGACGATGATGCACTTTATTTGCAGACTGATGGTTTATACATAAAAACAATAGATATAAAATAGGAAACAAAGACATTACAAAACAAATCTCCTTTTTGAAGACAATCATACCAGTGTTTCCAGAGTTTAGATGTGTAACACATGAACCTGTATTCAGCATTAGTCAGTATTAAAATGACTCCATTATCAGACTCATTGAGTTGACATAAAGGTATAGATACAATTTCTTACAACAGACTTTAATGTACTGACACCAGCAGACACAAACTGTTTACTAGCACTGGTCCATCTGAGCTTCCTTAATAGAACTCTTATGCTGCGTTCACACCGAACGCAATTTCAGCTTCAAAATCGCAGCCAACGCTTCAAGTTGGACGCTTGTGCACTTTGAGGTCAGACGCAGATCAGCTCTTGAAGCGCTGCACGGCAACAGCCTCCCCGCCCCTCCCTCCTCTGTCGGGCTCTGTTTAATGTCGGACGAGGAAGTGGCTTTGCTTTATTTACAGAGAGCAAGAGCATGTCACATTCATCAGATAATTAATTCATAATTAATTCACCAGATAATTCAGAGTAGAGGCTCACAGCTCGCTTTCAGGACTATTTTTGTCCCAAGTCCAGTCTGATGAGCCGCTGCCACGCATTGGTGAGGATATCTCTGTCAGGACACCGACTGCAGGCACTCGATTTCAGCTAAAGAGCTCCTCTCAGTCTGTTTCAGGTTAGTGGACATCATTCAGTAAACTGTCCCGTCGGGAAATATGTCACTACGTCACACAGTGGAGTCTCTCTGATTGGTTGACGCGGCGCGTCGAGCTGCAAAAGTTCAGATTTTCRAACTTCAGCGATTTGCGCCTCAGCGCGTCGAACGCTCAGATCGTTCAAATCGTTCAAATGGCGCTGCTCTAATCGCGCTTGAGGCGCCGCAGCCCTTCCCGACGCTGCTTGAAACGCGTCCACTATAGACTTTGTATGTAAACCTGATGCTCCTGATGCTGAAATCGCGTTTGGTGTGAACGCACCATTAGTCATTATCGCTCCTGCTCAGTAGTTTTATTTTGACTATCAGTATAACTGTGGTGGGGGAAACACTGTTTAATAAACTTGTTTTTTTTAATGGTTTCAGGAGTCTCAGATTCAATTTATCACAAGTAAAAATCTGTTCTTTGTTTCCGTTTGGTTCAATGCTGTTTTTAGGTCCTCGGTGGGCATCGTGGAACCTGGGAGTGTTCATGTGCATCCGCTGTGCTGGAATCCACCGCAACTTGGGGGTCCACATCTCAAGAGTTAAATCTGTCAATCTAGACCAGTGGACACCTGAGCAGATTCAGGTACACACACACGCACGCACAAAGAGAAACATTTAAAATTCTCAGCAGTATCTGACAATGTTAGCATCCTGGGAAAAATACAATATCTGTTAAAATTCAGTTTCTTACTACAATAAACTGATCTCTGTTCTCTACAACTAATAGTTAACATCATGTAAAGTTGGAGCTCTGATGTGTTTCTTTTTTTAATCCTAAAGGTGTTTTTTTAATGACCTGGTGTACTTTGAAGAAATGAGCATCACTCCCCACCTTTCATCCTTAAATTTTAGACTAAGATGATCTTATGTTGAGAACATCTGGAGTTAAAGGTGTTTTGGCCAAACCGTCAAAATTAAGTCTCACTCAGACTATGTGCTGTTAATGACTCTGAGCTACTACCACATCTAGTTTTTTTTCAATTCTTTATTCATTTCATTAAAACAAAACAAATAATTTTATATACAATTTACAATAAAAAGAAAAATATAAAAAGAAAAATGAGAGAAAAATATATATATGTATATTAAAATTACAAATAAAATGAAATGAAAGGCGGCAGAGAGAAGAAAAAAAATCTTATAATATCTGCCCCTTTTTCCCTAAGAATAAGTTCATATAACAACTTTTTGCTCAGTAATTGCAAAACTGAGTTGTAGCCAGGGGTGGTCCTAGGGGCGGGGCCACAGGGGCATTGTCCCCAGCTGAAATCTGATTGGCCCCCTGAATCTATGATTTTGGTACATCTTACCAAAATCAGAGATTTGTGTACAAAGATGTTGAATAAATACTTGGCCCTTCTAATAATATTGTGGCCCCTTGATGGCCCTTTAATCAGAGAAATCCTAGATCCGCCACTGGTTGTAGCCATTTGTGGGTTGGCTAACGTCGACGAGCTGTGGCAGACGTCTTGAACTGAAATAACTCCAAAAAGTATCCAGTTGTAAATGAAGGTTTCATTTCAAGAGATCTTTTGCTAACAGACAACCTTGCTTGACTCCAATAGTCATTGCTACAGTTTGTAGTGGGTGATAATTAGCGATTGCTGTTATTCTACCTTTTAATGTTTATTATTTTCATCACTCAAAGCACGAGAAGAAGAACCAGGAGCCCAAAATAAGCCATGAAATAAAGACATTTACTGGATAAACAATGTTTATATCAGATTGATTTGATGTTTCTAAATCTGTATTTTTTTCTACTGAGTCAAATCAATCTTTATCCCATCATTCTGGTGCGCTGCCACACTCACAGATGCTCGCTCTGTCCCTCAGCTCAGCATTTGGTTTGTGTTCCAGCGTTCCTTCACACACATTGTTGATATGGTCAGGAATATTGATGACCCCAGTAGTAATTAGTTTGTGTTGAGTGTGTTTATGTCACATTGATCACGTTCCACATAATAAATCCAGTGTGCTGCTGTCAAAGTCACAGGAGAACGCCAGTAATGAATTGAATCATCCATGGCTTTAATAGATCCAGTTGTTTGGTGCGTGCACGTGTGTTGGTGTGTTTCTACATGGAAGCGCCTTTACTCATCAGCTGAGTGTGAATAAAAAAGGCTCCCACTCTGAATGTTAAACACTGTTTTCAATGAGTAATTATTCCTGGATGGTTGATTATTCTGACTCCGTTTCTTCTATCATTACCCTCTTTATTCGGCCCCGTCACACACACACACACAGTGTTTTTCCACTGTGGTGTGTGTGTCCATGTGGAGGCGTCGGTGGGCAAAATGAGTTGAATACAAATGCGACGCATGAAAGAAGCTGCTGTTTGTCAGGGCGGCTGCCTCCCCCTGCAATAATGTCACATGTTGTTCTGATGTTCCTCTCGTTTTCTAACCTGTCTTCTCTCCCCGCAGAGCATGGTGGACATGGGCAACAGCCGAGCTCGACAGCTGTACGAAGCCCACCTCCCAGAGAGCTTCAAACGGCCTCAGACAGACCAGTATCCTCCTCCTGCTCTCTTACATTCAAAGTTTTACTTTCAGCGTCTTTTCTTAAAAAAACTTCACTGAACAGATGTTATTGGCCCACTTCCTGTTTTTACTCAGCTGCACATCTGTCACTGCTGCCACATTTCATGTGTAGAAGATCTGCTGCTTTACAAAAAAAAATGAGGCTTTAACAATAAAGTCACATTGTTAAGATTAAAGTTGAATTTGTGTTGCCAGAAAAAAAAGGCAAATGGTGAGGGGAAAATGTAGGAATGACTAAACGGAAGGAAATCAACGTGATAGCTCCTGAACGCAACTCTGTTCTGGTTTTTATTATTATTGAATCCAAGGTTTATGGGTAGCTGTGTAAAATTCTGGGTAAAGTTGCAAATTTTCTATGGGAATTTATGGAAATAAATCAGGAGTTTAAAACAATAAAAGCTTGTCCTAAACAGATATTTTAAATCTAGGTGTGTAAAATGTACTTTTGCATATTTTTGACTAAAACATGTGCCATTCAAAGAGAATGACCACACCCTAAAATATGATCATCCATTAAAATTTCCTGAAAATTTCCCAGAAAATTTCCATTCCTATGCAGTCCTAGTTATGGAGACATTTTTATTGTGTATAAATTAAAACATAATATTTAATTTAAATCAGTCCGAGGTGTGGTTTCTTTAAGTTTTCAAAATAAAAGAAGCAAACATGCACACTGAGTATTAACCTAGAAAAACGATCTCTGAACATCTTAATCTTATGAACATAGCTTACATTACTGTTCTCCAGTAAAATCCATTTTGCAGTGTGTTTGAGACTCTTATTTTGAAGGATTGAAACAAGTTCTGTGAGTGCTCATGGAGCTGGGGGAACCACATTTTGAACTGATTCAAATAAAACGCTGCATGTTATTTTGTAGTTTACCCAATAAAGATGCCCTCATAACCCTCGAGTACAATAATAGTTAAAAACTCTGTGGATGTTTTTGACGATAACATTTCCATTTTAATCTTGTCATTGTGACTTTGATGTCCAAACTAGGAAACATTTTTAAAAATCTTGATTTTTTTTCCCTGATTGACCCCCAGTGTGGTCATAGAGTCAAAGCTGAACATTAGTGAACAGTTTTTTTCAACTTTTCAGATGAAAGTTAAAATATATCCAAGAACCACAAATAAAAGTAAAGATACTGTTTAAATATTTTATGACCTAACACCTGAGAATCTTTATAGATGGCTAAGTCCCGGCTGGATTTACTTTATCTAAGCAGGTGAGACTATGTGGAAACAGACAAATACATGATCAGATGTGAACTATTGTTAATCAGACCTTTTCATCATAGCAATAATTACTTTTAGTACAAAGTAACTGGCTTGTTACAGTGACATCATTGAACACATTCAGGACATTTAAAGCAGTGACTCTGTTCACAACAGGAAAACATGATTCAACACAAGCCAGATGCATATGTTCATTTTTCATCTGAGTGTGAGATGCTGCTCTAATACACTTTGTTGGATCTGGCAGGCGTGCGTGCGTGCGTGCGTGCGTGCGTGCGTGTGTGTGTGTGTGTGTGTGTGTGTGTGTGTGTGTGTGGGTGGTCGTCACTCTTTAGTTTGCAGGAGTCCATTAGTGGTTCTGACAGCAGCAGAGATGGCTGAAAGCTGCAGATAACAGAAGAATCAGTTAGACTGTCTCTATTGTAGCAAGAGGAAGTAAGAAGAGTGATAAGCTCTCTTTAAAAGAAGGCTCCAGATTGATTTTATCCACCAGTTTGCTGAATTTGTTCATAACAAGGAATTTTCATTGTAACTTCATAAATCTATGTTTTCTCTCTTTCTCTGTTTGTTTAGGTGACTTGTGATGTGTTCTTAACTTCGACTAAGAGCAGGAGAACTAATCTGGCTGATAATTTTACATGTTTACACTGAGACCATATTTAAAAACTGATAATTATTTTTTACTTGGTTGTAATATTTGTTCTGATGCACTTACTCTCTTTTCTCTGCTAGCAAAGTTTGGTCATTAATTACTTTCTGTATGTTGATGGTGCTATGAACACATTACACAGTGTACACATCATTTGTTAGGACAAACATTATAAAGTTAAATTTTAGATGCCCACGTCCCAGGGTGGTCAGGGACCCAGCACAAGGTGAGGGGTTGAGTGGGTGGTGCTGTATTGGCTTTGGCGTGAATTGCTAACATGCAAACACATACAGATGTTCATTATCTTACCACAGGCTGTGATTCTGCCCTTGAATGATGTCAGAGGAAACACTAGTTTTGGTCTGTTGAGTTCATTATGAGTTACGGAAGTTGTTACTTTACAAATAAAGTAAAGCAACTGATATTTATTCCATGGATCAGAGTGAGGCCTTAACTTGGACCTTCAGAGCAGTGGAGGTGTTCATCAGGGACAAATATGAGAGGAAGAAGTTCTACAACGAGGTCATGACAGCAGCTTCAGTGAGTATCACCAACATTTAATTATATTCACGTTAAAGCTCCAACAGTGTGTGCACTCAAACATGGACTGGACTTGGTCTACACTGACTGGACTCAAACATGGACTGGACTTGGTCTACACTGACTGGACTCAAACATGGACTGGACTTGGTCTACACTGACTGGACTCAAACTTGGACTGGACTTGGTCTACACTGACTGGACTCAAACATGAACTGGACTTGGTCTACACTGACTGGACTCAAACATGGACTGGACTTGGTCTACATGGACCAGACTTTGTCTACACTGACTGAATTTAAACATGGACTGGACCTGGTCTACACTGACTCAAACATGGACTGAACTTGGTCTACACTGACTCAAACATGGACTGGACTTGGTCTACACTGACTGAACTCAAACATGGACTGGACTTTGTCTACACTGACTGAAATCAAACATGGACTGGACCTGGTCTACCCTAACTGGACTCAAACATGGACTGGACTTTATCTACCCTGACTGGACTCAAACATGGACTGGACTTGGTCTACACTGACTGGACTCAAACATGGTCT